GGGGGGTCAAATGAGAACACTATTATCACATGTGATAATACAAATGAGGGGACCTGGTGGTGTGCATACGACGTGTTCTGCAACCTAAGTCACGCCAAAGGTTTTCTACGTCTCTAATTTAGTATCACATGTGATGGATTACAATATCACATCAAGACAACCTTATAAGATGTGAAAATACACGTAAGGGCCCTAGTGGTGTACGAACGACTTGTCCCGCAACCTAGGTCGCACCAAAGATTGTTCATGTCTCTGATTTAGTATCATGTTTGATTTACTATAATAGAATATATTATCATGTATTCATAGAATGAAGATGTTATCATTTGAACACTTATATATATATATATATATATATAGAGAGAGAGAGAGAGAGAGAGAGAGAGAGAGTGTTCAATTGCAAATCTAATTTCCATTGCGAACCTGGGGACAATCAAGAGTGCAATGACCCCATTCATCATGAATGATAAATGCGAATATTTTACATCATTCATGATAAATATTTCAGACACATATCACAAACTCATTGATACAAATTCACAAGGGAAATCATGTTCACAACCGAATCTTACACACACACACACACACACGTATATGGAGGTTTAAACGAGAACATCTCCATTTTACGAGAACGCGAGAACACTCTTATCACATGTGATAATACGCGTGAGGGGACCATGTGATGTGCGGACGACGTGTTCAACAACTTAGCCCGCGCCAAAGGTTGTCTGCGTCTATGATTTAACATCACATGTCAACAACCACCTTATCACATGTGAGAGGGCTTAGTGGTGTAAGGCGGCGACCTGGCCCGCAACCAATATCACATCGAAAATCGTCTGCGTCTCTAATTTAGTATCACATGTGTATCATATGTGATGGAATTATAGTCTCACATACGATTATCTATAGTAAAAGAGTGTTCTCGCATTCTCGTAAAATAAGGATGTTCTCGTTTGAACTCTTCCCTATATATATATATATATATATATATATATATATAGATATCTATATATTATATGTATATGGGTAAAGATTCTTTTAACATGAAAATTCTTAACTTTGGATAACTAGAAACAAAAACAAAATTGGTTGGATGGAATATTTGTTGTTACATAAATTGTTGATTTGATACCACTTGTTTTTACCTAAAAAGCACTTAATACCCTCTTATGTCTGAATCGGTCATACCTTAGGGTATTAAGTGTGTTTGTTTTTTTTTTTTTCAATTAAGAGCTTAACAGCTCTGATTATGTCTGAATTATTGAGAGGTAACATTTTAACTTAAAACCTCTTAATTGCTTTTAGAGCTTCCAATGCTTGCAAAGAAAGCCTAGATTTCAATGATTCAGATTTCAGATTTCAGACGTAAAAACAAATAGTCTGACTGATTCAGATTTCAGATTTCAGCACCACCTCTTAAAATTCAGAAGTGAATTTAGACTTCAGAAGTGAATTTAGACTTCAGACTTAAGCACCTCTTAAAAAACAAACGCCACCTTAGTATTTACCATAATAGAAATCATTTCACATGTCACACCGCACCCCCACGCCCCCTCTACAACTTTCACTTTATAATTATGCCCCCAAATACCAACGATTTCTTTGATAATAATACTTTTTCTTTTTGTTAAAGTGAAACCAAATATAAAAGTAGATGTAACAAAATTGACAACTCATGAGGCACGAGTAATAAATTAAGATGTATACCTTTTCATAACGGTCAAAATGGTTTGATAATTTCCAATATAACTATTTAGAGTTGTTTTCACCAGTAATCTTAATCGGTCTTACATAGAACTCGTCTTTAATGACATCAATGAGAAGACGTATTTTGTTGGCTCATTCAGCGACTGAGGTTATCAGAGGACCTAAGACCGAACCTGAAATATTTGTCTTCTCTTTGAGCAAGATTTCATTACCATTAATCTTAATCGATCTGACATAGAACCCGTTTTTAGTGACATCAATATGATGAAGTATTTGTTGGCTCACTCAGCAGCTGAGGTTAGCGAAGGACATGAGACTGAACCCGAAATCTATCTTATGTTTGCCAACTAAGCTACAAGTCATAACGAGTATTGTTTTTTCCTTGTAAATGCAACAATAAGTTTGTTGTTCTTAACCACCTAAAAGTGGAGTTTCACTTTTTGTTGGTTAACTTTTAATTTTTATTATAAATCATTAATATATCATAGTTAAAAGAAAGTTATAAATATTTTATTAAAATAAGATTAAAGTTTGTTTTTGTCCCCAACATTTGTCAATTTTAATAGTTTATGTCCCTCAACTTCATTTACTTGATTTTTGTCCCTTAGATCTGTTAATTTTCAATGAATTTCGTCTCCTCCACCAACAATCGTTAGTTTTTTCTATTAAATCCTATCAAACAAGAGGCATTTTGGTCTTTCGATTAAAATTTTAGAGTTTCGATTAGCATATATCTATACTATCTTATAAAACAAATTCAACAAAAGTCTTAAAGTCTTAAAATACTAAATGACCAAGATACCATTTATATTACTTTTTCACTTTTTCACCATTTCCTTTCCTCACATACACTCACCATCTCACAACCCATTTTTTTAAAATTATAATTTTAAATTTACATTTTATACCTCTATAATTAGTTAATTAATTTATTTTACGCCTTTTACTTTTAAATGTTTCATTTTAAACATTTATCAAATTAATATACATAATCGTATATCAATTAAAACATGTTTAAAAAATATATTTTTATTTTAACAAGTTACACCATTATAATCGTCTCGTTAATACCTTCAAAATTAGTCCAATATTGAATAGTTTTTGACGTAATTATATTATTATATATTTTATTGTGAAAAAATATTTTTAATATTTACGATTTTTACTTTTATAGTTATTTATTTATATATATACTATATATTTTGGGGTTAGCCTGTCCAAATTGCACTGTATAATATGTTCTGAATTAATATGTTCTTGGGTTTTTAAAAAAAAAATATATATATACATGTATTAATTCAATCTTAATCTGAGTTTCTTGACAAGAAAGAGGGTAAGCAGTTGAAATTTTATTCTAAAACCCATCTTTTTTGGTCTTTTCATGGCTTATAATCTGTCAAATTTGTAGTTTTCTTTATTGGTTTTGAGTGTTTATCTTAAAACTCAAGTTTCTTGGTTATTTGCTCTTGGTGTAAATCGAACACATTTGTGAAGTCGTTTAAATATGTTGGATATTAAATATATTGGATTTTAAACTGTCATACAATTTTTTTCATCGATAGTCTGTAACTGGAACCATAACTCTTATTTATTCAAATTGTATTAATATGTAAAGACCAAGTGTAACATATATCATCGTTAAATCTTATCTTATAAAACCAAGTGAAACTTCAAAATCGTTAAAATTTATGGCTCCCGCTGCATTGCGCGGGTACACAACTAGTATATATATATGGTTGGGTTTCGATGAGAATGAAAGTTATGACAAAAAGGATAACAACGGATGTTCACACTTAGATCAATCCTAATTGAAGATCAATACTAATGTGGGACATCAAGATGCACTGGATAGATTCATGTCATAAGCACAATTCATGGGGTGATTGAGATTAAAAGCGATCAATGGTCTATATGTATAGACGAATGATCGTGTCAGAATATGAGTTAAGGAGAAAAGCATACGAATGGATCTGGATCTTTGATCACTTTTAATCTCACCCCATCCCGTGAATTACGTTTATCACAGAGTTGGATCTTGAGCATCTCGATGCACCGTATTAATGCTGATCTTCCATTAGGATTGATCCAGATGTGGAGATCCCTTCTTACCTTTGTCACCATAACTTCTATTCTCACTGGAACCCAACCATTCACTCATTCCTCGTCACTCTCTTTCCATCCTTCATTGCCATTTTCAAACCTACCGCCCATCTCCATCTTCAGTTTTCATCTACGACAATAGATCTACCTATTCCCTTCCACTATTCTCTTTGCCTTCCTCAAACTCATGGTTGTAACCAATGTAGTCATCTCCAACTTACCCAACTATAACCACCATCCAACCACATTTTCCACGACCGACGTTCTCTTCATCTTCCATTGGTTTCAATGACTCCTAACCCTCATGAACATGATATACAACCAAGATAGATGAGGGGGGAGCAACATCTACAACGGAAGAAGGGGGGTTGTGGTTGATGGTCGAGAAGAAGAAAGAGGGATCCCTATGGTGGAGTGCAGAAAATGGATCCATATGGTTATGGTGTCTACAACAGACGAACAATCTCCGATATAGGCGCTTAGAAATGTATTCAAATTGGAGTTGAATACTGGACATGGATGGACAACGAAAGAGGTAGACACCATGACTTCACGAGAGTCTCACCGAAAAAGAGAAATCGTCTAGTTGTTTTAGAACAGGGAGAGAGATTCTTTTTTTGGAGGAGTTCTTAGAGCGAGGTTATGTTCTTTTTTGGTTTTACAATCTATAAATACTATATAATATACTCTTTTAAATGTAATAGAAAAATACTTCTCATTTAATCAGACTTAACATAAAAAATCAATAGCCTAGATATCTCAATAGTCTCGTTTTTTTATTGAACTTTTTTTAAATTAATTTATGGTTGACAACACATGACCTAAATACTTGATAAATTAATCAAATTTAAGTAAAATAAATCAAAATGGTAACAGGGGAAATTAATAGGAATAATCATTTTCAGGCTTTGAATTCATCTTTTAGTCATTTTTCTTCCCAAATTTCAAAAACGTCATTGGTCTAATTTACAGATTTGGTCCCTGTATTTACGAATCTGATTCAAAATTTCTTTTTTACACTTTAATCCCTCCATAAATTGAGGAGTTGTTAATTATGAAAATAGTGACATTTTTAAAATATTTTAAAAAACTAAGAAATAATCTAATTAAAAGTAAGTATTTGAATTAATTTCCCTAATAACAAAATGTAAAACGAAGCAGAAAACAATGTATAAATATATTAAAGAAGAAAAAAGAGCACGAAAAATTAAACTAAAACTCGTTTAAAAAACTAATTTCCTTTGAGGCCTCGAAAACACCCGTTTGGCGGGAAATTCAGCCAGATCAACGATTGCTTCGCTCACCAAATCCTTGAAGATCATCCGTTCGATGTCCAGTATAGCATCCGATGTCTCTATTGGATGATCTATCCAACCATTGATTTCGATCAGATCTTTCTTTAGAACACCACTGATCAATTCTAGCATACCGTCGCCGGTGTTTATCTCTCGGATTTTCTGAAATTCCGACCAGATCTGTTTAAGAGATGTTCCAGATCCTGAATTCGCAAGCGAAGCAGCCTTCCACGGCGGCAACTGTCTGTTTCGATCGAGGATTTCGACGATTACGTCGAAAACGAGCTTTCGTTGGCGTTTGGAGACATTTGAAGTGTCGTTACTTTTGTACAGTTTCTCTGCCAAGGAGAAACTGCGATCTTCATGCAGGTACGGTGACATTCGAAGTATCTCAGAAATGTAGATAAAATCAGTGTCATCTGATATGAATTCTTCGTGTTCCATGGATTTCGTCGGCGAGATTGAACGACTGCAATTCTCGTCTTCATAATCAACGGTTGGAGGAACTGATTAGAAGACAGGAAAAAACAAGTCCAAAATCAGTACACAGTTTTCACCGCAAATTAATGCTGAAAAAGAACTGTACGATTATTGAATATTTTCCTTTAAAAAATTATCAGCGATTGTAACACCGACACAGAGGGCAGTCACCACTTACCACCGCACTCATTCAATAAAGACAATGACCAACGCCGCGTCCGGCGTCCGGCGTCCGGCGGCCGGCCTGCCACCATTATCAGATTTCCAACCACCACCACCACCACTAACATTGTACATATCTATTACTATCATTAGATTTATTTGTTTGACCAATTACATTATCCCATGTGAATAGGTTGAAACAATCAGCGTGGTAAAGGCTATGTTGGTGGGAGACTAATTAAGTCAACATGTAAGTTTCATGTGAACGCAATGAAGGTTTATTTTTAGGGTACCTTTGAAATCAATGCTGTGTGAAGGAGACGACGACTCGTCCTTGTCAAAACCTGAGTCAAGGACCGAGACTGGACTCGGTAAAACTGTGGTTGCAATCGGTGGTGACTCGGTGGTGCTGTTCATCTCCGCTATGTTATGAAGTAGCTTGTCACATCGCTGTAACAAACTCCTTCCTTGTCTATTTCCCTGCCATTTGGATTTCTGTAATTAGAGGAAATTATATCGAATGAAACTCGTAAATGAGCGGTAATTGATAATCCACATTTGCGTACCTCTGTATCGGTTGGAGGTGGTGTATAGACGGTGCTTACAGAAATGGAAGACGATTCCTCTTCTATAACAATGTTTTTGAAGGTTTCATGCTTTGTAGAATTAATGGCGGACGATTCCGATGGTTTATGGTTTCTCGGAGATCGATTGTTCAAGCAGTGATTAACGGATACGGTTCTTTTAGGAGTCAGCTTAGGAGAACTACTTGGCGAACTTCTTAGTGAATCTGAAGATTCGTTTGCTCTTCGTTGGATTTCAATGCTCAATGGTTTCCTTTTGACAATGGAATTACAACTCTTTAAGTTACTCTCAATTCGAGTAGGTGAAGAGTTTCTAGCTCTCGCCGGACTCCTCGCGCTCCGATCCACCGCTCCACCCTCCCGCTTTGGACTAATCGCCGGAGAATTTTCGCCGGTATATCTACGCGTTCCTCGAGAGTCATTTGTAGATATCTGATTATCCACTTTTGACGCCGGCGATCGCCATGGTTTCATTAACACGATGCTGGATTCATCGGAAGGCAAATTCCGAACATAGACGAAGTTCCGGTGCCGGTCTCCGTTTGAAGGTCTAGTAGAGTGTAGAAGACCTTTGAGTTGCAGAACCTCGAGAATTTGTTTCAATGTGCCTAGATCATTGGACTGTTCATCCATTCCTCTCATCTTCAATTTCTTCTCGAAATCTCCATGCATTGACACCGTCGTCGGGTTTGGCTCCGGGAAAAAATCCTCTGAATCGAAGAAACTTCTTTTTTGCTGAGGCGATTTCCATGGCGATGTTCTAAGAGATTCAGACTTCAGATTTCCCGATCCATATCCCATCGATTTCAAGGCTCTACCGTTTACAGACTCACTGTTGCTTACATTTCTTCCTTCATCTCTAACAATATGTTCTACCGTTTGCTTCGGTTGTTTCACTTGGAAATTGTTGCCGTCGATGTATATTGAGTGAACTGGATCTCTCGAAACTCTGGATTCTGAAGCAGATCTTCTTAGCGCCGGTTTGCCGCTGACGGGTTGTGGAGGTTTATGATCGGAAGATGATAATGGCTCGAGACCCATGAGTCTCGCAATGACGCTAGAGGATCGCTGTTGCTTGTCATAGCCGCCGTCAGTAACCACCGACGGTTTACTATTGGCACTGCTATCAAGCGAAAGTCTAGCCATTTCTTTGCTGGATTTCCACGAACACTTTTGCGTTCCATCTTTCATCTCAGACATCGGAATCAATGGCGTAGATTTTGTCGGCGGCGTTGCTAACTGGTTGCCAGTCGCATTTTCCGACGGAGATGACTGAGAACGGTCTGGACTTTCCGGCATTACCACCACGTGTTTCGTTGGCTCTTGCTTTCGTAGTTCTCCAGAAAACTCCGGAGACTGTACGGAACTCAAAATCTCCGGCGATGCACCGACGCCCTGCAAAAAAACAGTTTAAATTCTTCATTAATTCATATGGTTAATTACTCTACGGTCTATACAGTTTCATCTAATGCTACCCCACAATAATTAATGTTCAGATAAATATAAAATGAAGAACTTACGGTGGAGGGAGGGAGGCGTTTGGTGGAATGGATGCGTTTTCCGGCCAAAATCTGATGGCGATCAAAGATCTGAAGGAAACCAGAAATGCAACCACTCTGCTTCTCCATTCGTTTCTCAGCATTCTGGTTTTGAACTAACCCGGCCATCCTGAGTTCCGACCACCGTCAGGTAATCTTTCCGGCAAACACAAACATGCACAAGCCTTTATATTTTGTTGAAGCTTGTTAATGGCTTCTCCTCACATTGACATTTTTTACTCTCACGGTTTTCTCCATGTGTTTTTGAGCCTTTATCTGCAACTCTTCGCTTTATGCTACTTTAGAGGGTGAACCAAGTGGTTGTGAGGAGAGACGGAGGTGGGGCAGTCTTCTCGGACGGATCAGTTGTTTGTTTGTTACTAATTTCACAATCCTAATTAATCGCATTAAAAAAATATAAATAGATAAAATATTCCTTCAATACATCTCCTCTCTTTTGGAAGGGTATCCCACATTATATCCCTTCACTATTCTTGAAAAATTACCACAATAAGAAGTTAGTCCTCGTAAATTCATAATTCTTATGGATTTCTAGAATCATATCTAGAACAAATGAAATATTCCACCATATGCTATTACATCATAATTAGGGATGTGTATTGGACATGTTGGATCAGGTTCATATGGACAAAAATCTGTTTGGTTTCAGATATGGAAACCAAACCTTGAATTTTAGGTTCTGATTTCGAACTGCTTTGGATTCGGGTTGAGTCAGGTTCAAATATGGTTATAATTTCGATCGATTTTTAAGATGAATTCAATGGATTGCGAGAACTGATGAAATCAGACAGTGGGCTTAAAAATTAGAAAATAGTCTGACCAACTAGAATTTAGGATTTTCAAAGATAATTAGATAAATAAACATATTTTTATAATATTTATATATAGACTTTAGGTTTTCGGACGGATCGGGTGACAAAAAATAAAACTCAACTATCCCCAAAAGTCAGGTTTCGAGACATTTGGATTTTTCATAAACACCTTATTTTCACTATAAGTTTTGATTAAGATTCCAAACCATTAGAAATTTATAAGCCTACTAAAAAGTAGTCTTATCATGTCAAACTATATTAAGTTTTGCTTGCGTATTGAAACACTCCTTAGTAATGAAATGACTAAAACGAGAGAAAAGACTCAACTTTAATGTTATGACAAATGTCATCATTATATCATAAAATTATTAGCTGAAAATATTGTAGTAATTTTTTATTTTTTGTTAATAGGCCTTTTTTTGTTTGTTTTATATTAAAATAATATAGTCAAAAGAAGTTCAAAATTAATAATAGTTTTTTAGAGGAAAATGGTTGATTATGGTTTAGTCTTGTTGGAGTCAAGTGCTCTGTAGTGTAGTGGCGGTGGCCACGCCGTCCTTCATTGTCATGGACTTGTTGCTCAACCATTTGTCTTCTTAAAACAGTACTTGTATATCTAGAATCTAGATAGTTTGATAACAGTTTGATCCATAAACTTCGATTGGAGATAGAGACACAAATAGAAATTTTTTAAGTGATTGAAATCATTTGATTATAAAAAAATATATATAAGAATATTTTTTTATAAAATCATTATTAATCTGTTGATTAGTTCATTGTATTTATATGCAAGATTATGTGTTCAAATTTTTTATTGCATATTTTTTTTTCAGAAACATGAAAAATTTGGAATTAAAAGATAAAAACTGAAAGTAACACTAACGGGATTCGAACTCGCTTAGCGGTGGAAGAAATGTCTTGTAAACCAACTCTACCAATGAAAACTTGTATTCTCATTGTAGTTTGAAAATATACATGATGTCATATAACAAATTGATACGGTGACACTTTTTACAACTCTATAACTTTTTACACTACGACAGATGAACAAAGCGGTGACACGTGCCACCACTTAAACCACCTGGGTTCGTCCCTGATTGGGGGTTCCAGAGGTATAAGAAAAATAAAAAACGGAATAACTCATATGAACCAAAACGGTTACGAGTTAAAGAGTTTGATTAACCAAATAAGGTAAGTTTCGGTTTCAATTTTTTCTACCACATCGATTGAACGAATAACAAAATTATACAATCAATTTATATAATTTCCTTATAGACGAATTGGTTTGAGCATACATAAAGTTAAATTAGGTGAATTGATTTATTACTCAACTAAAAGAACATGAAATTGAGATATATTTAACAAAACTATCAACCAATGTTAACATAGTAACATGATTGTAAGAACTTGTGGTAACAAAACAATCAATGTGTGGAGAAACGACTGTCAAGCAATGAAGAGGAGGGTTTCATCAAAACGGACTGGACCACTAGGGAAAACCTTCTTAAATGACTAAAGGGAACTAAACACATAAGAGTAAAAAAAATCCTTTTGTTTCACCTTGACAGACAAAAACATAGTAAACCAGACGTGTTCCACCCTCACCCCATGAAACAAGGCGGAACAAGTTTATATTTTACCAATGTACCTTAAAATAAAATTTAATTCTTTTCTAAAACACCAAATACGTCTTCATCTTTACATTTTATTCATTCTGTAAATTTTATTTATTATATTTTATTCTATCTAAACTTTCATTTAATTGTCCTTAAATTAAAATTCTATTATGATATCTATATTTTGGTTAATTTTATGTAAATTATTCATTTTAATAAAAAAATAATAATATAGGGTATGTGTATAAAATAAAAGTTTGAAATTAATAAACTTCATATTTTAGTGTTATTTTAATCGTCCTAAAAAAACTTTCTAGATATATTTTGTTATAAAAAATATTTTTTTTATTATAAATAAATTAAAATATGCAAAAAAAAAAAATTTAACTGGTTATTTTACCAGTCATGTCTTACCAGACGCTGAACCTATTATGTCTGGGTATCAAACGCACCCTTAATGATATTCTGATACCAAGTGACCTTATCATTCAAACTTGTATATAGCCTAATCGTAATTGTAGGTATATAAGATGTACAATTTCCCCAAAATATGGCCGACACCTTTTCTAGGCCACAGGATCCCTCAAAACACGTATGATGTCTTACTAAGAGCAAATATCGCCTTGAAAACTGATCAGAATGATGCTTATGCCATCCCGTTTTACACCTTGTTTGGCATACCCAACATACCTAGTATTTGAAATGTGTTGCCTTGCGTGATTCAAATTGTTAAAGTTTCACACGTGGCTTCAGGGTTGTTTACCATATTCTTGCCGGATCTCACTTGTCTTACCGGGTGACTAGATTTTAGCAAGGACCGAGAATCTTACACGGTTAACGAGGGAGAGATATCTTACTCGATTAACACTTATAGAGTAAGAGACGTTCAATAAAAATTCATTTTCATGGCTGAGAATGTTACCCGATAAAGTATGTGATAGTGATTACTCTTGCCTATAAGCGTTTAGTAAAATGCACCTTAACATCACTTTTTGTTAGAAATGTCTACATATCTACAACCTAGAATTGAATAAGTAGATGTAAGACATGTTCAACGACTGTAAACTAGTTTATTATTTGAGTTTATTTCTATTTAGTTAGATTATCAATTCGTTTGCCAAATATATACGGTAAAAGATGTGACCATAGAATTCACATAACTTGGTAATTAGAAATTGGGTTATGCTTCCAAGTTCCAATGCCCGTGGCAAGTGCATATCTTTTTTAGCCTTTGTCCCCTTTTTCCTTCGCAAGAAGCAGTTTTTGGGGGTTTTGTTGAGGAAACATAAGTCAATTTTAGCACATCCCTGAATATATGGCCTATCAAGGGTAAGTTGGATCTTTTTTAGACTTGCAAGACATTAAATATATACAAAGATATATGACATAATTCATTGTTATATTTTAATCTTTATTTAAAATGTATTTTAAGTATTTAATTACTATTTTATTTATTTATTTCAAATTTAAGAAAAGTTCACTTATGACCTAACTTCCATCATGAATTAGGGGACAAATAAGAACTACATGTCTCAATTTGTCCCTATTCATTATGAATAATAAACATGAATTTCTACAACATTCATGATGATTGTATACATCATTTTCATAAATATCTGAGATACGTGACATGTTTTTATTCGTTCCACGGTTAATAAAAGAAGTTAAGATTCACAAGCAAAACTTAACCCATCAAATCAATTGTAATCTATTAAAGACTTGCTGGTGCATATTTATTACTCTGAGCATTTTAGATACATCTTTTAATTTTTTTTTTTTACTGAAGTAAGGTATAAATTAAAAACAAGAAATAGAGAGCCTATTTAATATAAGGGGGTGGCCTACTGGCTCTCTTTTGTTCAATGACATGCATACCCCTCGAAACCATTAAACCTTTCCTTTGTTCTTAGTTCTTATGACTTCCATCATGGTTTAATATTTCTTATTTTTATCATATTTGGATTAAAAAGTATATTTTTGTTAAAATTAATATATCAATCTTTTGAACAATGTCAACTCTTCTAGTCAGGTTCATATAGAAAAACTTGTCAGACTTAGGGTTATTTGGTTGGTTTTTAATTAATAAATGAATAAAGTCTTATGTGTAGATTAATCTGTCTGTATAGATTGAAAGTATTTATGTTTTTGTATTTATTACGACGTCGAAGAATCAAATTATTACTATATTTATTCAAGAAAACTCATTCTCAAAGGTTGATAAGACCTCTCCTTTATGGTATTTTTCCGGAAGCACTAGAACAATAAGCTAGATATTCTTATGGGGCATTGGACGTTTGCGAGGGTCTTTCCATAGGTTGAAATAACATATTTTTTTAATTAGTAGAGACAAGTTTGAATTTTTTTGGCTCTCTGCATAAATCTCCTCCTAGAAGCTTACTGGATAAGTCATTTTTAATATCATTAAGCTACTAACAAATAGTCATGTATAGTTAATCGAATAAGTTGTGAGTCATATTAAGCTCGGTAAAATGTTAACAAACAAGTACTAAGATCATCTCCAATCCAACCACAAAAAACAATAAAAATGGTGGATCCATTGAACACTAAAAAGAACACCTCCAACCACACTATGTCAACAACACTAAAAAAGACTATAGACATTTTCAGAGGAGAACTTAAAAATATTCTCAAGTGATAATACCATTGGACTATAAAAAGAAATCTTTCGTAAAATTGTTTCAAATTGTTGGTTGGTTTTTTTACCCTTACTTAAAAACAATCTGTGTTTGAATCTTGACCATATTAATTTGTTGTGTGTCACCGTATGTATTTTG